CTCGAGATCCTGTTTGTGCAGTATGGAAATCATCACTTTTACTGGAAAACAATTTCTAATCCCTGTCCATCTGCCTCGAATGTAATCACAAGCCTCTTAAAGACTGTAGGCCGCCGCCAAAACTGTCCATCTCACCTGAGTCCTTGGCACTTGGGGGAAAAGATTCAGGGTGGTGGGTCTCTTGGGCCGGTATGTATCCATGGCGACGGCAGGGATTAAATCCTTTAGCTGAGGCTGAGTGACAGGCGGCCCTGCGCCCTGCTCTTCCTTGTGGTTGTCATCGACGGCATCAACTGGCCGCCTCTCGTTCTCTTCTTCCTCCTCTTCTGCATCAATCAGGTCCAAGTGGAGCATCTCCGTCTGCAGCTCCACCACCCTCCTCCTCCGGCCGCTCCTCGGCGTGCCATTGGTCGGCTGAGTCATGTGATCCTGGGAAGAGCAGGCAGCAGAGCTTTAGAGGCGAGAGCAAAGGAGCTGCAGTCAGACGCAGCCGGCCAATCAGAGCGCGGTGATGACATCAGCCTGTGGCTCCCTTCCTGGCTGCTGTAAGGAAAGCTAATTCAATCCCAGAGAACAATGAGGCGTGTCGCGCGACATAAGCAAAATAAACACACCCAGAAATGACGAGGAGAGAAATTATGTTTAATTATGCTAAACTGCCTTATTGTATTTAAACGCAGCTCTTCTTACCATAAACACCATGTCAGTTATCACATTAAAAGGCTGGGAAATCAAAAATGAAGGATTTTAGCTATTAGATAGATAATGATATCCATGCTAACAGTCAGATGTTATTGAACATGTTACAAATTCTGTCAAAGACAATTACGCTGAACCTCTGTCTTTTGACACATTTTCTTATAATGCCAATCATTGCATAATAAGGGTAGTGAAATCTTAAAAAGAGATATTTTTGTTTTAGTCAGACGATGAAAATCATGATGTGACTGAACATGTTTTGAATTCCCTGTGACAAAAGCATTATGCTAAATTGCCTTCTTGTCTTGATCATGTTAAACCATCAAATGTGACTGAATATTATAAATTCTCTCTTTGTCAAAGCCAATTATGCTATGCTAACTGCCTTATCTATTAACGCAGCTTTTCTTAGCATTATGTTATGTGGTGCTAATTATTACATATAAAGCGTAGTGAAATCATAAATTATGGATTTTTGTTTAAGTGGTCAGATGATGATATCCATGACAAATTGGCAGATGTGACTGAACGTTATAAATTACACTAAATTGCCTTCTTGTCACTAAACACAGCTTTTCTTAGCATAAACACTTATGTTATGACAGTAATAGTCACATAAAAATGTTGCAAAATCATAAACTAGGGATTTTTGATCAATCACATTGTCCAATTATGCTAAACTGCTTTATTGCCTTCAAATGCAGCTTTTCTAAGCATAAACATTTATGCTATGATACTAACTATTGCATAGAAGAGGTTGTGAAATCATAAATGAGGGATTTTGAAGTTTAAGTGGTGAAGTGATGATATCCATGATAAACAGTCAAATGCGATTGGCATTAACACAGAATTTATAACATTCAGTTAAGCTAAACTGCCTTATTGTCTGTAAACAGTTTTTCCTAACATGAAAATGTATGTTAGGACGTGAAAAATCACATAAAAAAGGCTTTGAAATTATGAGGGATTTTGCTTAAGTTTAAATGGTTAGACGATGATATCCAAGATAAACAGATGTGATTGACTTTGAAATCTCCCCTCAGTGTTCATGTCTAATAGGCGCTGAACACAATAGCCTCTATTGTGACCTCACTCACTCATATGAATACTGATATACTCAGTCTCTACACATATTTGGACTGCAATACATGGAAAATGATGATGCGCCTTTGGCCTAGAAATCTATTTTTACTGTGGGCTAAACAGCTCACCAGGCTCAGCACCATCAGATGATTCCTCATTCAGCTTCAGACTGTGTCTCATAGAAAGATAAGTGACTGTTTGGTTTTAGGGTGGAGAGATATATAAACCACACACACGTTTTACTTTGTGGTGGGGACCGCCTGTTGATGGCTACTGTTTTTGAATTAAGATAACTGCGATTACTTTATTAACGGTAATCATACTCTTTAAATACATTTTAATTAAGGGAGGACACAAGGTCAAAAATGGAAGGGATAGATCATGCAAAAGTTAACTTTTTGGTCATCATTTACATTTACTCACCATCATGTAATTTTAAATCTGTTTGACTTTGTTTTGATCATAAAAAACAAAAGGAGATGTTTTACAGAATGTCCAAGCTGCTCTTTTTATGCACACTGAGAGCCTAACATTATCTTTTGTTTTCTACATAAAATGATTTTTCAAAGTTGTAAATAAATTAAGGTTAAGTGTAACATTTGACTCCTGAACTAGTCTAATGTAGTGAGCTGTAAGTTCATAGCTGGATTTTAGCCCACTGGAGATTAGCTTAGCTACAGGCTCAGAGCAGATGTTAATTAACCCGTATAGGCATGTACAGGTGGTGCTTTGGCACACCTCCCAAAAATCAGAGTAAACCCTGACCCCACAATATATATTCAGCTAAATATATGCCAATAAATAAGTATTGAAAATCACAAATATATTGCTTAAATATACAAGTAAATATATTTAAAATAAAATAACCTAAATAAATGATTCTCTCTTAGAAAATAGGTCCAAAATCTTTCACTGGGGCAGTATCTTTTCAAAACGTACTAATATGAACTTTTAAGTAACAAATATGCACCCTTTAGGAGTAAATAAGGTATAGAAGTTCACCTTTTGAAAATATAGGTACCACCCCAGTGGCAACTTTTGTATCTTCTTCTGAGAGTGTATGAAAATGTATTTGTTTACCCCAAAATTCCAGCTATGAAAACGGACTAAAATTTCTACAGTAAGTTTATTTGAGGGTACAGACTTACTTTAGGATTGAGGTCGAGCTGGCTGAGAGTGATTCCGTTCTCATCCGTGATTTCTGTCACTTCTGACAGGTCGTCATCCTCGTATTCATTCAGACTGATATCATGGGTTAACCTGCACACCCACGCAGACAGTGACACACACTATGTCATCTCTCCACGAGGCCATCGCTAGACAATCATACACAGAGAGAGGGCAAGGCTCTCCTACTCATCTGATAACTTCACGTCGACTACTGCAATGCTGTAAACTTCTAGGCGTATTACTCCCTGATATATAAATGTAAACAAAGTTTTAAAGTAGTTTCTTTTAGTCATTTAATGTAATCCTGCAGGTATCAGTTGGCATTCTGCTAACTTTAAGTTTACAATTTAAGTCTATTTAATAAACCTTTATATCAATTTATATTTATATATAAACAAATTTACATAAGAATATTACAGACTTATCAAAGGTTATTTTCAGAATTATGTTACGCATATGGAAATCTGTTGTAAGAAAGCATAAGCAAAAACAAACAATTCTTCTGTTTTTTTCCCCCTAAATGTAAATGCTTTTTTAACACATTGTATGAACTTGCTTAATGACAATATTATTTATTATACCTAAGGTTTAGAAATAAAATTGTTTTAAGCATTCTTACCCTCTATCTGCAAGCTAGCCGTTTACTGACAATTTAAGCTTTAAGAGCACTCAGACATACTAAATTCACAGTGCTTCCTGTTTATATACCTGCAATTGTGCAGCCGCCCACATTTCTAGATAGATAAGATGAACAAGACAATTTAACATGATAACAATGAATTCAGTCAAGCGAATGAACCTAGCATAACTATAAACGTCTTTTTGCACACCACAGTCGTTCCTTTATCTTTTGATTATGATTTTGTACCATGCAAAAGACTCAAAGCAAACACTATATACTCATTAAATTACAAAACCTTCAGTTTTATCCATAAGCCTACATAATTTCCTTCATGCACACCTAACTACCTATTGGCCTATTTCAGAGAACACGAGCTGATCCAAGGTCAGTTAAGTGCAGCATAAAAAGGCCGTGTAGGGGACACAGCTGCATCACTACTGTACCATTTCTCCCACTGTTCCTCCATCCAGCTGTCCCCATCTTCTCTGGAGTCCATGGCCAGGCTGAGCACCATCTGCGGGGCAGGGCGGGGTGCCACTGGACCCTTCTTGGGGGGGAAATCGATGGAGTCGACAATTATGCCACTTTTTTCTCCACCACCAATCCGGTAGTCCACACAGAAATGTCCTCCACGAGGGTCCTCATATGAACTTTTAAGTAACAAATATGCACCCTTTAGGAGTAAATAAGGTATAGAAGTTCACCTTTTGAAAATATAGGTACCACCCCAGTGGCAACTTTTGTATCTTCTTCTGAGAGTGTATGAAAATGTATTTGTTTACCCCAAAATTCCAGCTATGAAAACGGACTAAAATTTCTACAGTAAGTTTATTTGAGGGTACAGACTTACTTTAGGATTGAGGTCGAGCTGGCTGAGAGTGATTCCGTTCTCATCCGTGATTTCTGTCACTTCTGACAGGTCGTCATCCTCGTATTCATTCAGACTGATATCATGGGTTAACCTGCACACCCACGCAGACAGTGACACACACTATGTCATCTCTCCACGAGGCCATCGCTAGACAATCATACACAGAGAGAGGGCAAGGCTCTCCTACTCATCTGATAACTTCACGTCGACTACTGCAATGCTGTAAACTTCTAGGCGTATTACTCCCTGATATATAAATGTAAACAAAGTTTTAAAGTAGTTTCTTTTAGTCATTTAATGTAATCCTGCAGGTATCAGTTGGCATTCTGCTAACTTTAAGTTTACAATTTAAGTCTATTTAATAAACCTTTATATCAATTTATATTTATATATAAACAAATTTACATCAGAATATTACAGACTTATCAAAGGTTATTTTCAGAATTATGTTACGCATATGGAAATCTGTTGTAAGAAAGCATAAGCAAAAACAAACAATTCTTCTGTTTTTCCCCCTAAATGTAAATGCTTTTTTAACACATTGTATGAACTTGCTTAATGACAATATTATTTATTATACCTAAGGTTTAGAAATAAAATTGTTTTAAGCATTCTTACCCTCTATCTGCAAGCTAGCCGTTTACTGACAATTTAAGCTTTAAGAGCACTCAGACATACTAAATTCACAGTGCTTCCTGTTTATATACCTGCAATTGTGCAGCCGCCCACATTTCTAGATAGATAAGATGAACAAGACAATTTAACATGATAACAATGAATTCAGTCCAGCGAATGAACCTAGCATAACTATAAACGTCTTTTTGCACACCACAGTCGTTCCTTTATCTTTTGATTATGATTTTGTACCATACAAAAGACTCAAAGCAAACACTATATACTCATTAAATTACAAAACCTTCAGTTTTATCCATAAACCTACATAATTTCCTTCATGCACACCTAACTACCTATTGGCCTATTTCAGAGAACACGAGCTGATCCAAGGTCAGTTAAGTGCAGCATAAAAAGGCCGTGTGGGGGACACGGCTGCATCACTACTGTACCATTTCTCCCACTGTTCCTCCATCCAGCTGTCCCCATCTTCTCTGGAGTCCATGGCCAGGCTGAGCACCATCTGCGGGGCAGGGCGGGGTGCCACTGGACCCTTCTTGGGGGGGAAATCGATGGAGTCGACAATTATGCCACTTTTTTTCTCCACCACCAATCCGGTAGTCCACACAGAAATGTCCTCCACGAGGGTCCTCAGGGGGGTTACATCAGCCACGGGAAGCTGTAGTGGATGTCCTCACTTCCCCTGGAAAACATCCTTCTGTACACCCCTGACACTCCTTGCTCTGCATGTGTCCTTCAATGGAGCCATTAAAGTCAGCAGTGGATGAGGGAGAGCGAGAGAGAGTTGTAGCAGGAACACACTACTGAAGCACAGAGAGAGAGAGAGAGAGAGAGAGAGAGAGAGAGAGAGAGAGGCGTAGTCTCCACTAAAAGAGTCTGCCACCCCAGTGATTGATGGTCCAGATCAATGCGGCTCAAGTTGCCACCTCCACACAAGTGCAGGCCGGTTCGGCAAAGAGATGCCTGCTGGGAATCGATGACATTGATAACAGATGAAAATATCTGGAAGGCTGTCTGTGATTTATATTGTATCATTAAAGTTCATTAGGAACTCCTCCTAAACCCTGTTAATTAGATTCAGATCTCCTTGCGTTTCATTAATGGAAAAACAAACATGTTATTGACTGATCATACATGCGTCTTCTTAGTTTACATTGTGCAGTGGGGCGATTGCAGATAACGTGTTATTGACTTGGAGGAGATTCGTTTCATTGCGGGACTCTGCAGAAGATGGAGGATGACGAGAGAGAAACGGGCAAAGAGGCAGAGATAAGAGTCTCTCCATGGTCATTATGCTCTATAAGAGCAGACATTAGCTGACCTGGGCAGGAGCTGAGAGCTCTTCCCTCATTAGCGCAGCTCCCACAGGACGCCATTCACATCAGCTCTGCATACAGCAGCTCTATTGCATGACTACACTGCCAGTCTGAGATAAACACCAGCACACTGCTGGATGCTGAGCAGTTTGCTCAGATGTGCACTGATGGCACACTGTTTTAATACAAATGAGAAAATCATAGATGTCATTCTAATCATTCATTTAGGGAAAAAAAAGCATTTGTGACTTTATCGTATAAAAAAAACAACATAAGAGAACAAAACAAAGGGATTAAAAAAAAAAAAACAGGACAACCAAAAAGAATATATGATAGAACATACAACATAAAAAAGAGAGAGCAAAAAATAAAACCAACAAAAAACTCAAAACACACACCAAAGCAGAACAAAGAAATAAAACAGAAAAGACAACAAAAAAAGTCCAAAACACAACACAGAGAGAGAGAGAGAGAGAGAGAGAGAGAGAGAGAGAAACAAATAGAAAAAGGACAACAAATGCTCACAACACAAGACAGCAACAACAACAAAAAAAGAACACAAAAACAGATGAAAAGAAATAAAAACAAAACAGGACATCAAAAGGACAGGACAATAAATAAATAAATAAATAAAATACAAAATATACTACGCATTTAATAGAAATAAAAAATAAAGGCAAAAATTCAAAAATAAAACATGTTATAAATAAACAATAATACTCATAATAAAACAATACACTGAAGATCTATAAAAATAAATAAATAAAAAAACTCAAAAACTAAACCCGTTTATGTATACAAGTACCCAAAACAGAAAAAAAAGAACATGAAAGAAAAAAAAATTCAAAAAGACAAAAATTAAAAAAAATGCTAAAAATATACATTAGAAATTAAAATAAAGAAAGAAAAAAAAAAAAAATGCAGAAATAAAATACACAATACTAAATCAATAAAAATACATGCACTGGTTAGTCATAATGAGAGACATCTGAACATTTGGAAAGATTTATCAATTAATTAACAGCTTTATGACTATGACCATAAATAGAATACATTTTAATCACTTAATGCAAACGAGCAGCCCTTCAGCATTTTCATATATTTATTAAAAAATACAAACCTTAGGTCAATGTGTCACGCTCTAGTGTACATGAATTTCCATCACCATGCTAGGGTGTTGTGAGTGGTAGATAGGGAGTTGCTAAACGGTTGCTAGGCGTTTCTGTGTGGTTAAACCAAAAGAGCCCACACCCTGATCATGTGATACCTGGATATGGCTCCAGTCCCTACTTCAGTGTAGATCTACGGGATTTATCCTGCTGTTCTAACATCCACCAGGCAAAAATTCGAAAAAGTCACACCTTCTACAAGCTGCAAGAATTCATTCATGTCTGTAAAACAAAGGGTGTTGAATGAATAATGAAGTTTTCATGTTAAAGAAAAACAAATAGGTTCAAGAAATTTATTTGAGAAATTGTAATCTACATTGAAACATCGTAGATGCAATATAAATCGCAGAAACATTGTTTCCCGCTGACAGAAGCATGCAGTGAAAAGGCTCAAATAAATTACTGCCTACAAACAGAACAGCTTAACAATCCCGTCAGCCTTTTAATGAAAATAAACTCTTTTATACAATACAAAAAAGAAAAAAAAGGGACAAAAAAAAATTAATAAAGCTGTTCCACATTGCCAGGGAGAACATCTTAAACTGTTAAATTATCATGAATGCACACATTAGTGGAATGTACAATTAATCCTTGTCGACTGTTAGAAAATGTTAAAATGAATCACTTGGTAAATAAATCAAGCTAATTGAATTATAAAGTGAGGATTGGATACTGTTAAATTCGGAAAACTTTAGTGCAGCAAGTGGCAATGAAATGTTTGCATTCAGAGTTACATAAAGCGTATATTAATGGGGATAAATTACTGAACCAGAAACCGAAGTAGTAAAATTCTTCATTGCTTGTGTGAACTAGTTGCCTGAAGCTTGCAAGCAATTATAGAGTTCAACTACATCAGACTTCATATTCTGAAATTCATATGGTCAGAACACTGTAGGCCATATCTTCAAATGTTCCCTCATCATTTCCATTATCAATCCATAAACCAGAGTTGCATAAAATTTGGCTAGATTCCAAGAATGCTTGTCTCGGCATATCGCTTGTTAACCTTAACTGGAGACGGCAATATCCATAGATCTCAGTCAGATTGCAATGCCAGGAGAACTACACATCGGATACAGATCTGTATCTTCATACAATCATGTTTAGTTTAGCAGGTCAAAACTGGAAAAAAAGCAGCTTTTTTATCATTGATGTTTGACAAACAAGCTCTGGATTGCAGCGTTAATTCTTTTGTTATTTTTTATTAATGCTGTTCTTCTGCAAAAGGTGGCGCCATTCGCACACTTTTCTCCTGCCGTTTCTGTCTATGGGATGGTTCAGCGAGGTGGACTCCACAGACTTCCTTGGATATGGGACCACAAGCGCAGTCTCAACCTGAAGAGGGTAGAAATATAATTCATCATTGATGTTTGACAAACAAGCTCTGGATTGCAGCGTTAATTCTTTTGTTATTTTTTATTAATGCTGTTCTTCTGCAAAAGGTGGCGCAATTCGCACACTTTTCTCCTGCCGTTTCTGTCTATGGGATGGTTCAGCGAGGTGGACTCCAGACTTCCTTGGATATGGGACCACAAGCGCAGTCTCAACCTGAAGAGGGTAGAAATATAATTCATCATCACTGTTCATTTTGATCCTTGCTGAATATGCTTAATTCAATTGTGGGATTCAGCAAAATAAATTGACAAAGAACTGAAGCTGGTTTATGAAACAGCTCCCACACACCTCATCATAAAACATAGCAGTAATAACTAGATAGATGTTCATTAAACCAGAGCTGCTAGCTATTAAAATGAAAATGACTGACTTGACCTTAAAAGGTTGCTTTAAAGCCTGAAAACTGGACTTTCACTCAGAGATGCAAACAAGTAAGGGGGAAAAAAGGTGAGAACATTGCGCAGATCAGGGGCATGCTCCAAACTGGATTTCTTTTAAAGATATTTGCTTTACATGCCGTTTTGTAGTTACTTTAAAGTTGTTGTTTTTTTATTACCTTATATGTTTTTCACCCCCCAAATAAATTGACAAAGAACTGAAGCTGGTTTATGAAACAGCTCCCACACACCTCATCATAAAACATAGCAGTAATAACTAGATAGATGTTCATTAAACCGGAGCTGCTAGCTATTAAAATGAAAATGACTGACTTGACCTTAAAAGGTTGCTTTAAAGCCTGAAAACTGGACTTTCACTCAGAGATGCAAACAAGTAAGGGGGAAAAAAGGTGAAAACATTGCGCAGATCAGGGGCATGCTCCAAACTGGATTTCTTTTAAAGATATTTGCTTTACATGCCGTTTTGTAGTTACTTTAAAGTTGTTGTTTTTTTATTACCTTATATGTTTTTCACCCCCCCAAAAAAAATCTTGTTGCAACATAATAAAGATTTTGAATATATTTGGTCAAAATCCCATGCTATTTAAGACAATATTGGCTGATTAGATGGCAATGCTGACCTAAAATGCAAAATGTTTGCCCTCTCTCTCCACCGTTCCCACATCTCAGACCTCAAATACATAAAATATTACCCTTTTTAGACAGTTTTTGAAGTAAAGAGTAAAGAAAATAGTATACAAAACATACTGAAACAACCAGTTCTTTATTTACCCTTGTAAGATCACAAGTACCCACAGGAGTTTGCATATAAGTCAATGCATATATGCATAAATTTAAATTGTGCTTTTTAAGTTGTTGATAATTATGAACAAGAATATTATATTTAAAATTAATTAAGTAACACTGCATTTCAGAAAAAGAACATCATACCAACAGTAAAATATGGTGGTGGTAGTGTGATGTCTGGGGCTGTTTTGCTGCTTCAGGACCATGAATTCTGCTGTTTACCAAAACATCCTGAAGGAGAATGTCCGGCCATCTGTTTGTGACCTCAAGCTGAAGCGAACTTGGGTTCTGCAGCAGGACAATGATCCAAAACACACCAGCAAGTCCACCTCTGAATGGCTGAAGGAAAACAAAATGAAGACTTTGGAGTGGCCTAGTCAAAGTCCTGACCTGAATCCTATTGAGATGCTGTGGGATGGCCTTAAAAAGGCGGTTCAT